TGACACACGTCTCGTAACTTTCATTTCATTTCACCGTGATTTTTATTTATTCAGTAGATTTGAGAAAATTAAATTTCCTCACGGCGGTAATGCAAACAGGGACATAAGTAGTCGGGAAAGTGATCAGCTTCAAAAATTTTAATTTCAACGCTTAATGAAAAAAATAATAAATCAGAGCTTAAAACCTGTCTTTTTTTTTCTGTCTCTTAGAAATTCAAGTCAACTCCCTCCAGCTCAAGCTTAACATTTTCCAAAAATGGTCTTTCCTGAGTCTTTATAGTTTGGAGCATATAAGTACTGAACGAAGACTAGCTATGTCCATGTAAGAGATCTGGAACTACACCTAAGTCAGACAAAGCTTCAGCAGCCCGTGCATTTTTCGGCCATGATACAGTTTTCTTGCTGTTCAGTATCATTTCATCCCTGTCAATTGGCGAAATTACTGCCAGCAAAGTCAATTACAAAAAGATGAATGTTTCAAACCCTCAGGGAACCTCGTCCCGCGGTCTGCACATTACTTACCGTTTAATGCGACTCATCACCCTGTTCATTCTGCAGAGGAAAGCTAGTACGTCATCGGTCCGTCGCGGTGACGATTATAAGAAGCAAGACGAAAGTTTAGAGCGAGTGAACGATGGTTTAACGAAAGTGCTTGGCTTGTTTCAGGACATCGCTGGATCTTCGTCGAGTATGAAGAATGACGATGTTAAGAAACTCATTAAAGACAAAACAAGGCTGGGATGGCATGGATCCCGAACAAAGGTATGAGATTGTTTTTCAATGCGCAATTTCATTCTTGGGTCTTGAGTTTTAAAGAAGGTTATTTCCAATAAAATTTGGAAAATTCATAAACGTTCAACTTATGAGTTATCATCCTTTCTGTTGTCCTTTCAGAAAAGGTAGTATCGTCGTGCAAAGAGATTTATTAAAAAAAACAGTGAGAATTGGTTGAAATGTTGCAGAATTAAAAGACACTGGGTTTTAGTCTCCAGGATGCGCGGTGATAGTTTTAAGCGCAAAGCTGAAGACCCTCGGCAGACCTTGAGAATTAAAGACAGGAGACAGCAAAAGAAGACCACTTTCTCCTAAGGAGTCTGCAGGAATAAGGGAAATAACTAAATAATAAGATTCGGATAGTTACCCTACGTTTGTTCATGGAAAATTATATTAATGTATATGTGCGACCTAAGTCCAATATGTGGCATAAAGAGATGTTCCGTAATATATCTCAGTAGAGGAAAAATCGAATTATATCTTAGCCGAAAAGACATTTCATGCCAAAGGGGAGCAATTAAGGCCTAAATGAAATCGACTATCGTATTTTAAAAGACCAGAGATTATTAAGGTTCTCCTC